AACATAGTGTTATTTAACTGGTACTATTATTATATATGGATACAGAAGGTTTACCTAGGACATTCAGTAACAATAATAGTGTTGGCACATTTTTTTAAACAGTAATAGAAAGCACAAAGCTCAAACGGCACAAGTTAACAGCGGGCCCCGCTTTAAGCTCAAGGCCTGTATCGGGGGACCCAAAATAATGGACAACTTATTTTCATTATTACATGAGTCGACTAACGCAAACACACATTAGTTACAGAATGAAATTAAATTTGAAACGTTATTATAAACATTATTAAGTTACTCTCAAAACATTATTATATTATTATAACATAATTATCAAAACATTATTAAATTATTTATAACTATATTATAACTACCTCCGTGGTCGAACAGTTGCCACGCCGGACTGTCACGCAGACGTCTTAGGTTAGATTCCCGGGCCGGGAGAAATATTTGTATGGCCTACATTTATTTCTCTCGTGAGTTTGAGTGTAATTTGTGGTTGTCTATGTGTGTCCATGGCACCCGCGACACAGGGTTTCCCCTAGTCCGGGGCTGTGTTGAATGTGTGCGTTATTATTATTATTTTTTATTATTTACAAATAACAAAAACATTATTAAATTATTTAAACATTATTAAATTATAGAAATAGCTTAGGTGTGCATTGATGTGTATGTGTGTGTGTGCGCGCTGGGATAGGAGGGTGTGACTGTATACGAGTTTGTAAGTACTTTGTATAAGGAAATGATTGTTGAATTTTCAAGTATTTAATATTATTGACAACTACACCTAGTGTAACCAATTTAGAAAAGTTCAATTCAAATTCAAAGTTATCTTTATTTCATAGGTAAGCAAATTACACTTGAAATTGTTATACAGGTTAAACTTAACTGCTCATTCGTAAGGCAGATTCCCCCGAAGAGATTAGCAAGAAACTGTAAACATATATTTGAATATATTTATCATTTACAATATTTATTTCAAACATCTTAGATTGAGAATACCTGCCGAAGTTAAACGGGTCAGTACCATGGATTTTTGTCATCCAAGTACGCAGAGGTTGTAATAACCATTAGCATAAAGTTTTTGTTTCACTATAGTTTTAAACCTTGTAAATGGCAAATTTTGAATATCAACCGGAATCTTATTATAGATGCGTATACTTTGCCCCTTAAATGATTGTTTGACTTTGTGAAGACGACTATCAAGAAAAGCTAGTTTATTTTTATTCCTTGTATTAATGTTATGTCTGTCACTATTTTTCATTAAAAAAAATGCCACCCTTTTTAACATAAATTACATTTTCATAAATATACTGTAACTTTCCACTAGTCACCATACACATACTACACTCACGACATACATACTTTTTTTATGTGTTTGATAAAAAAGTGAGAAGGTTCTGAAATCTCTCACCAGATGCCACTAGCGGCGCGGCGCTGAAAAACCAGTACGAGGATCTATAACAAGAACACATCGGAGAATTTCTACAACTCGATAACTTGACCTGTAGCTCTGTTGGTAAGAGCAGCGCTACGGTACAGCGTTGTCATGGGTTCAAGTCCCATAGTGTCGAAGAAGAAAAATTTTCTGCGTTCGATCTTTGTATCAATAATCTATAAGACATTCCCAAATTGGTCCTACCGGGCATCGAACCCGGGATATCAGCATCCAGCGCCCAAGGTATAAACCGTTAGGCCACAGAGGTTGCCAAAAATTCAGCGTATAAAACGGATTATTAAGACGCCGTAAAAATGGGTCTAAATTCAGTCAGTCAAGTCAAGAGCTCAACAATTAACTAAGCCTAAGTTTTATTTCTTATTAAAGGATATTATATTGTAGCCTTGGTATAATAACGACACATGAGATCAAAATTCTGATCAAAATCAAAAGTACTTCAATCACATGAAAGTCATATATTAACACGCACTACATGAAACAAATTAAGTAGGTACTTACATGTAAAATTCGAGGGTAATAATAAAAGCTCCGAAAAGTAAATTAAAAATGAACATATTCAAAGTATGAATATTACTGCGTTATTTTATAAGCTACGGAAAAGTTTTGTGCTAATAAGAATATGGAAACAACCGAATGAAATACTGAAAATTCCGAAAAATCTTGCGACGTAATACTAATCTACTAACTTAATTTATATTGTACCTTAGAATAATAACGCATAGGATGATAGTTTCATATCAAACGAACTGTCACAAGTGAGGCAAAAATCAAATTCATGTAGGCTAGTTTTAGTAGTAGATTAATTTTCGGTTTTAGTGAATATTTATATAAAAATACAAGTTGAAACGCGTTACTTCCTTGTGGAATGTGATGTTAGTATCTATTTTATGTTTGTCTGACGTATTTTTACACTCATTTACCGCACATTTCGTCATTTTTAGCTAAAATTCTTGTGCTTGTGTTCGCGGTGCAAGTTGACCTTGAGCACTGAAGGCCCGCCCGCTCGTGTAGGCCCTTTGGGAGCGCTTCAATTTGCCTCACTTAGCGTGAGCGGACTAGGTTTCTATGCGTTATTATTCTAAGTATTGTACCGAAAACCTATTGTTTACTATTGATAACTATTGTATTATTATAAATTTAAAAGCGACATGTACTTTTTATATTTTTTATTTTTTATATATTTATTGTTTTTTTTCTATCATAAAATTTTTTCGGAATCCTGTTTTCACACCTTATATACTAATCACTGTATATACTCAATTTTTAACCGACTTCAAAAAAGGAGGAGGTTCTCAATTCGTCTGTATGTTTTTTGTATGTATGTTACGCGATAACTCCGGTATTTGTGAACCGATTTTCATGATTCTTTTTTTGTTGGAAAGGGGGTACTTCCGTAGTGGTCCCATTTCATTTTGAAGAAAATCCTCCACCTCTAAGGGTGGCTGTTCATTCATGATTCATTTATATAAATAGCGCCTAACTTTAATTTAGGAGCAATTACTTTAATGGTTGATTTTGCTATTTCTCCAATTCCAGGCGTTTTTCTCTCAATATACTTTGAGTAGTGAGAACCGATTTTTATTATCTGCAGTGTCAAGTCCTGTATAGTGGTGAACTATTATATAGTGGTGATATTTCAATAAAACTTAGGAAATAGACGTAATTCCATGTACTTTTGAGGTCGGTTTTTTTAGTGCTCTGTACTGATCACTATACTAAATATTATTTTCAAAGTGCCGACCGAAGCCATTTGAGCTTGTTTATACTCTTAATGATTAGTCCATAATCAGCTATCCTGGTCAATGCGATACATACTTCACCCATTTTCCATTTATTTTCCTAGATAAAAAAATATGTTGACACATGCTGTTCGCATTATGATTTGAATAGGTGTGGTGTTCCTCAGGGAAGAATATTAGGCCCTTTATTTTTTTTGCTATATATTAATGACCTGCCATTAATAACTAAGCACAAATGTGTCATAAATTCAATTAATAACAACGTCCATCACTATGAAACTGAAATTAATGACACACTAAAATCCGTGGTAGATTGGTTGCATGTAAACAATCTACACGTCAATTTGGAAAAAAACGAAATATGTTCATTTCGCTGTAAAAGGACGTACACCAATCGATATAAACATTAACTACGATGGAAAGATTTTACAAAAGCTAGAGACAGTTAAATTTTTGGGTATATTTAATAGATAAAAATCTTAGTTTTACCAACCAGGTTGACAGCGTCTGGATACGTCCTTTAAGGTTAAGACAAATTACTTCTAAAAAAATTTGTTTATTTGCTTACCACGGGTACATCGCGTCGGTTCTGCGTTATGGATTAATTATATGGGGTAATGGAACTTATGTCGAACGAGCATTTATAACTCAAAAAAGGTGTATACGAGCAGTGTGCGGCACCGGCCCACGGGAATCTTGCAAGCTGCTGTTCGAGAATTTAAATATTTCGACTTTACCTTCCTTGTATATTTATGAAGTTTGTAAATTTGTCAAACAGCATCTAAAATTATTTAAAAAATCAATAGATATTAATCCACGCGCAAAAAGAAACCCAGACAGGCTTGTTGTTGAAAATATACCTAAAACTACTCTCTGCTTAAAAAGTTCATATTACATGTGCATAAAAATTTATAATAGACTACCAATTGAAATAAAAAATCTGACATTTAAAAGAATGACAACTGAACTGTATAAATACCTAGTTAAAAAGATTATAATGTAAATGACTACTTAGAAGATAACATTTAATTTTGCATGCTTTTGTATAACGGCTGAATAGATGAACTCAAATGTAATAACTACCATCCTGTAATAACCTATTCAATGCAAATAAACCTTATTACATTCCATTTCCAATTGTTGCGAACCGTCTTCGACATTATAGATTTCACCACGATGTTTTCTTTCGGCGTTAACAAGAGGTATTAACAAGTACATATTCCCAAACGTACGTAACTTAGAAATTATAAAGTCATATGTACACGCCTCTACAGGGGTTAGAACTGTCTATCACTCAATTGATAATAAAAAAGCTATAAGACCTCATATACTTACTTGTAATGTCTTATGGAATATAATAACAGTTTGTACCATAATTATAATGCAATTCAGTAGATAAATATAATTTTGAATATAATAATAATGTAGTTAATAATATTGAACAAGTGATAATTTTGGCTACACTATTGCCTATTATTATATATACATTATTAACCTAATGGTTAGGCCTGTTATGATAGTTGCTAGGGTGTGTATGTAAAATACATTAATAAATAATTTAAAAAAAACTATTTCTTAACACACTTGCACGCTTTTATAAAGATTTGATAATTTGAAAGAAACTTCAATATGTAGAATTCCAGTAGTAATCAGGAAATACCAGAATTAATATTAATCAATTGAGATACCTATGAATATTTAAAAAAATATCGAACCTTATATACCTATGAATAAATTATCAAATGCAAACTGAAAACTAACTTCCAAGACGTAATCGCTTATAAGTTGACATCACTTGCTGTACTTACCCCATCGATGAGGAGTTCGCCCTAAGATAGTTCTTTCTTCAGGATTGTAGAAGAAGTACTGGATGCGTTGGACTAAAGGCCGGTGAGGGGGCCGGCGGCAATAGTTCACCATTCCATTGGGCTTGTCTGCAACCATGCTGCCTGCCCTGTGCCGTGCCAACCACGAACTGACAGGGTGGCCTCTACAGATTAATAGAAGATCGTAGAAATCCTAAATCTAGAGGTATTCTGCCTTTATACGCTTTGTCTCTGTGAGGCAATGCTAGCCCTAAGTATAGTTTGATATAAACAGGATAAAATCAAAGGAACAAGATTAATTTATAACGGGCCATGGACAATTATTTTACGAATTAAAAGAAACCTACGCCTCGCTTGTATTTTCAAACAAAGCAACGTTTTCACGTATTACGCCTTAAGCGCAGGCCACACCGCGAACGAAGCTAAGCTAACCTAGCTTAGCTCACGTCGCCGGGCATCTATTCATAATCCGGTTCACACCGCGAACTAAGCTAACCAAGCTAACTAAACTAACCGTTGGGTTAGTTCCCGCTAAGCTATGTAAAATATGTCGCCCTTCTGCCGCCGTTCATCCTCTCACGTATCCATAGTGTAGAACCTCACTACTTACTACGTATTTTCTTAGCTTACCTTTGCCCTTAGGTATATCCGATAAAATAATATAGTTACCTATGAGTGGCAATAGCGAAAGCCTAAGAACTCTATTGCAAAGCCTGAATTAAGTATTATATATTTCGTAATATTTCACGATTCATTGTCGATAAAAACGCAGGTGCAGATGTGCTATCTGTTCAATGTCGAATCATCTAATCTATGTCCTCCGCCTAAGTTCCGCCGAAATTTGCTGACAACTGGCACCGCCCGCCCAACGACCTAGCTGCTGCCCTACGAGCTAAGTGATTGAGTGACATTGGGTACATATTACCTGTTTGTACATTGTTTTCTATGACGAGAATATAATACAGGTTGGCTGTAAGCTAGACGAGGTGCTCAACATAAGCAACGTTATAGATAATGTGAAATGTTCGGTTTGTATGTAGGTACAAATTACAGTCAGGAGCGAGACTATGCCGACCTCGTTCATCACCATCTGACTTTCTTTTAAAATTTTGAAGCGTTCTCGAATTCCCTTTTTCTTCACTAGCCTCACTTTTGTTCGACCAGTCGTCACTTATTGTGTTAGTGCAAAATGACTGCGCTTGAACAATTTTTTTTTTAATCAACACATGAAGGAAAATTAACTATGACAAGCGCAGCTATTTTGCACGACTTAACTGTCACTGGGTTAACCGAGTAGCAAAGTAATTTAATTCCATTTTCAATAGATTGTTATCTGCTCACATTTATTATTTACAATAATGACTTAAAAATATGATATTTAGAAACAACTTAAAAGATGTAAACGGATCACTGGACATGGATTTTTGTCGACATTGCCGGCTTTACCTAAGATGCAGAGTGTGCGGTGCACACGGGTTTCGGGTCTTAAGGTGGTTTCCACCGGCAAGGCGAGACGAGACAAAAATTTTCGCCAGCCTAATTCCACCAAAAATTGCTATTAATAGCTTGCGCGGGCTGACGCGCTCGGGCTGTGGTTGTGGAGTTCTGAGTTCAGTTTGGCTAGCGATCGCACGCGGCTGAAGTAACATGTCCCGTAAATTATTGTTATTAAATATATTAACGGAAGAAGAATCAGATGAAGCCATCTTTTTTTTTAAATCTCAATTCGTACGTCTCGCGATTGATATTAATAGCATTGGCGAGTGCTCGCGCGAGAAATCGTGTTTCCGTTGCAAATTATAACACTCGATGTAGGTAGTAATACGGTTCAATATTATGTACATCAAGAAATAATTCAATTCTTGCCTCGTCCATCCTCCAGACCGTTTCCACCAAAGATGCGCTAGAAAGAATTTAAATTATGCCATACAAAATAAATTTTAATCCTCGTCTCGCCTCGCCGGTGGAAAAGCACCTTTAAAGGGCGCCGAGTGTCGCTCGCGGCGCATCCAAAGAGCCTGCGTCATTCGCGGCGCATGCGAAATAAATGAGCTATTGCTTCGCAACGTCTTCTATAATTGCACCGGAATTTCCGAGCATTGAGAAAACAACTGTAATGTATTCCATTTTGATCGCGTGCCTACTAGAGAGCACCACGTAATTGATTGCACCCGCTACATGGGCTAGCGCCGCAGTTGTCTGTTTCTTTCTTTAGCGATTTTTTTTCAACTCATAAAATTTTCGTGTATCCTGTGTGCATTTATGGTTACAAAACCTATAGTTATCACTGAAAAGTGTAAAAAAATTAAATAAAACCAAATTTCAAACGTTGGAGTGATTCATATAATAATTTATTTACAGGAAACGCATAATTGCAAAGTGCCTACTTATTTCTTAACTATAACACAATCAAACAAAATTAATCGAGCTATTTATATTTTCACACTTTATCACTTGTATTTAATTAAGTATACCACCCTAAGTAACTACGTAATAAATAAAAAATTCTACTAGGTACAGCTGTTTTATCTCAAGACAATGAACTAAGTACAATAACACAAATAACACTTTGTCATGTAACAACAATTAATCTGTAAAATCGGGTAAGCAATGAAATTCAATAACGTATAATTATAATAATTTCAAATAAAACTATTTATTTGTTTGTGATACACAGGTTATAAAGACGTAATAAGAATGCATTTTAAATCACTATTTTCTCATAATTTTTATGAAATGTTTTCATGCAATGTGTGTACACGCAAGATTTTATAATGTTTTTCAATAATACTTAAATGACCTAGTCTTTGTTTTGTTTGTCTAGTTAACCTTATAATTACGTTAAATAATTCATTACTGTTATTTTATGTCATATGTTGGCCGGTTTATAATTTAAAGCACATATTTAAGTAAGCTTCTGATAATTTTTAATGCGTTCTGAATCATTACCATCTATGGCAGAATACTAGCGAGGCGTTTGCAGAGTCATGGATCCGGTTGATTAATTACATTATTATTTTTTTATTGTGTCAATTATTTTCATTGACTTACAAATAAATGGACGACGGGTCTAATACAAAAACCACGGAAAAAAATGTCCCAAGTCAACCTATTCGAAATTTAAATTGTAATGTCATCGCAGTATCGCGCTGTCAGTAGAACAAATGAAGACTAAAGCGGAGTGTCGCGCTCTGTATACGATTTTAGCGCCTTACAAGTGCGGACACTTTTTAGCGCGGACCCGACGTCCATATAATTGTAAGTCAATGATTATTTTAATAATATTTTGTCATAAAATAATGTCATTTTTTTAGTACACCCATTTATTTGGGTAGGCAAACGTTTTACCATACAACCTCTTGTTACTTTTTTTTTTTGGAAAAGGCTTCCAGACACTCTCTCCGTGATATGAAATGTCAAATCAAATAAATTTAAAATTATTTTACTAAAAATTCTTAATGAGAATTAAAGAACAGTCGTTTTCTCTACGACCGTAAATGTTTTTATAATTTTTTAATCAAGATTGGCGGAAAAATGCAAAAAGATCTGTAAAGCTATTGGAAAGGGAAAAACAAACTAAAATTATTTAAAGCAATTTAAAAAGAAAGCTGCCAAACATTACAAATTCAATATAAGTACAAAACATTTTTTTTATTTTGCTTTCAATAAAAAGATACTTCTGGTACCTATTTTATTACTTCCACTGAGTATCTACAACTACATAGCTTATGTATGCACCTCATACTTTGAAATGTCAAAGATTAAGATACAAACAATCGATTGGATAGAAGTCCAGCTTCTTCAACTGCTTCTGCACGTGTCCATTGCTCATTTACTCCCAACGTTTAGATGCAATTAGCATTTGAATACGCGTGTATCCAGCCGCCAGGTTGTCCTTCAAGCTGCCGTTGTAGCGGATGTTTTTTGCCCACGCTCGACAACGCACCTTGGTTAGATGGTCCACTGTGGAATTATAAAAGAAAAATTAAGATATAAATTACAAACATTTGTTATTTTAGTAGAATTTAGTAGAAATAAAATCTGCTCGACGTCTCTGGCTAGGACCTGGGAGAGAATCGAGCTGCCAAAAAAGCTTATTTGGGGCAACTTACGGGTCATCGTCCAGTGGGCCGTCCAAGATATCTCTGGGAGGATGGAGTCGAAGACCTAAAGCAGCTGAATGTGTCTGAATGATCGGCACAAGACCGACAGAAATGGCGTCTTTTTTTTGGTGTCAGTGGCTAAGATCCATTTCGGGTCGCTGAGCCAGCGAAGTAGGTAAGTACGTTAGTTTTGTCATTTGCAAATAGAATTGTCGCTCTTTAATATCATGTGTAAGACAACATCAAATACGTTGCTTTGATCCCAAAGTAAGTAAAGCTAAAGCACTTGTGTTATGAAAATCGGAAATAACGACGGTACCACAAAAACTCAGACCCGAGACAATATGAACAGTTAGTTTCTACACTGACCTGGCCGGGGATCGAACCAGGGACCTCAAACACTACAGAGTTAACAGTGGATGGTACCTCCTATTAAGCTTATCAAGCCTGTGTCAGGAGGCACCGCTCTTCCATAGGTATAAATGCATATTTATATGTATACTACACGTCTATTAGTTCAGTTGACATAAAATACCTATTGAATACAGCGGTTTTCTTGTAAAATTTCGAGGTAAGTTTGTTTTTTTTTTCTATCATGAAAATATTTTACGAGACCAGTTAAATCACCGAGGGTTCACACATGTTCGACTAACTTGGTGGCATAATGCATATATACACGTGAAAGCTGCATCATTAATACCAACCTGTGGGCTTTATCTTAACAACGGTGATGAATCCGACGAGTCCGCGGCCCCACGGGTATTCCACGACAGTTTTGTTGCCCCCCTCCTCATCTAAGCACGACACCCAAATCTGTTGACTCTGAAAATACAGGTAACTAGTTACATGACATCTAACTGTAGTTCAAAATATAACAGCTTGTTTACCCTATCTTCTTGTCGAGTCAATGACAAAAACCAATAAAAGAAGAAGTGTTATATTTCTTTGGCCCAGTATCTGCCGCCGTAAACGTCTGTGGTCGGACACAATGGACATAAGAGCAAGTGAGACATACTTTGTGTGGTGGATCCCCACTTCACCATATTATCTCTACATATGCCAACTTGTGACTTGAGGCGATTCAGGGATTTCCATATTGACCACTGCAACTCCTGCCCGGGGGAACTTTCTGCTGGGGTAGTAAAATTTAGCGTTGGCGTTTGGAATTTGGCTTGCCAAAGTTTGCGCCTCGCGTCCTTGGGGCTACCTTCTATAGCGAGGTATGTCGAAGGAAGCTCTTACGACTTGATCATCGTACTGGTGGGAGCTTGTGGCTGAAAAAGGGTGCCGACTATCAACCTCCTACTTTTGTTTCTCTACTCCACATGCTATCTCGCGACTCCGTACAGCATGGACCTATACCATTTTATGAGTTGTAATAGTAGTGAGACTTATAAATAAAGCTATCAGCGCAAAAGAGGTGTTAACCCATTGACTTACAATTATATGGACGTCGGGTCCGCGCTAAAAAGTGTCCGAACTTATAGGGCGTTAAAATCGTATACAGAGCGTCATTCACGCTTTAGTCTTCGTTTGTTCGACTGACAGCGAAGCAAGCAAAATTAGACAGTACTGCGATGACATTACAATTTAAATTCAACGTTTTAGCTTTTTCATATTCCTTTACATGTCACTACGTTTAAATAGGTTGACTTGGGACATTTTTTTCGTGGTTTGTGTATTAGACCCGTCATCCATTTATTTGTAAGTCAATGTGTTAACCGCATAATTTTTTTTTAACAATATTACTTCAAAAGATACTAAAGTACATAATCATTTTATATTTGGATGTTGTTTTCAAGTATAAAAAAAAATATGATTAAAATTTCAGCAACAGTGGAGCTCTTATGAAAGAGTTCGTCCAGGTAAGTACTGCCACCTTACCTATTTCTGCAGCCAAGCAGTAGTGTGAGCGTTACTGCGTTCCGGTTTTGAAGGGTACGGGTGCTTGTGAAATTACAGGCACATGGGACTTGTCAATTTATGTCTCAGGGTGTCGGGGGCAGTGGCCGTGCCCCTCAGATCTTTGTGATTTAAAGCTCTGAGGGGTACTGCAACTGTTATAGACAGGCGTGTCGCTTACCATCAGGCGCACGACTTGTTCGTCCCGTCACTTAGTCATTATAAAAAAAAAAATTTGCGATGATAACCTCAAATCGATGCCTCCAATAAACGCTACGACAAGTTTATTTTTTGATCAGTTTCTGTTATTTTTGTAAACAGTCATATTTATTTACTAATATTATACTCCCTGTATTTTATGACAAAAAAATAAAGAAACAAAAATACAATTCGAAAAAAATATATTTTGTGAAAAAAATAAGGAACCAGAAAACAAAATAGGTCCAAAAACTAAGTAGGCATAATGTTCGTTAATGTAATTGGAGGTATCGAAATTACATCATAAGTCATAACTTACTTTTGAAATAACAAAAAAGAAAATATATATGGCATGTTCCGGTTCACATATACGTAATGTTCTTAGGAAAAAAATAAGGGAATAGATTAGAACGGTATGTTCTTAGGTAGATGTGTTTTTAGGAATTCTATACGAAAACACTTAACTATGCTCATGGACATATTTAGACGAACTCTAGATATGCTTACTTGTACAGAATTCAAACCGGTGATGTGTTGACGCAGATCCTCAGGCATATCTTCCGGTAATTCTGATACACTGTAGTATTCTGGTGACCAGCCTAACATCTATAAATAAACAGTAACTGTAATAAACCAATTTTATGCAATACCACTACAACTATAAGCATTTTGAAGTTCTATAAAAATCCGCTAGATGGCATTGATTCATTTTATGCAAATACTGAATTACTGTGCAAAATTTTCTAGGCATCGTAAGTCTACAAAGAACCTATCTCATAGCCGATCAGTTGCCTCTCTAATCCTGAGAGGAAAGAGAGTGTGAAACTTTACTTGGCATTTTTAATTATCTTGATATACAGAGTGCTTTTTTAAATGGGACAATATGGGGAAATCTGAAACCATAGAAGATACAAGGAAACTGTCTCACGAACCTTTTTACGAAGTCTTTTTTTGTGAAAACAATGTTGGCAAGGTCAATTTTTTGGTGAAACTTGAGTTGTCCATAAAAATTAATAAAATTGATCTACATTTTTTTAGTGCTTATCGACTTAGTTTCATGGGGGGATCATTTCCTTGGATGAGACGAAAATAATAGGGACAACAGAAGTTGGTCAAATTTCATAAAATGTTTTTTCATAGAAATCTGTTGTATAAAGAACTGTTTTGGATTTGGAGACGTCATCAGCACACGATACACTCGCATTATTTTGTAGTACAAGTGCAGTATTGCATAATAACACTATTTTATTTATTCATCGTACGTAGGTTAGGTTAAGGCCTAACGCACGCTTACTGTCGCAGTCCCACTTGTAATTTCAAATGGATCTTCCTCCTTATTTGTCCTCAAGTATCCTCGACTGACCGTCGGTAAATCCAGTTAAAAAAAAGCAAAATTTGCGTAAGAGTGAGGATAAATTATTGGTATATAACAGGTATAACACAAAAGGAGTTAGAGAAAGGGAATTAAATAAATGTAAAGTTAATAATAATTATGGAAAAAGAACTGATAAATATGTTATACCAAAAATAAACAACAAAATAGACTAGCTCAGAGAAAGTACGAAGGTTAATAAAAAAGTGTTGAAAAAGAAATTAAAAAATTTATTGCTAAGTGATGAAATGTATTAGTGAAAATAAATATTATGATAAGAGACATAGATTGGCCACTGTCGGCTGTTATAATGACCCACCTTATTGAGCTTGATGACGAAGCACGGAGAGTCAGGAAAACCGTAGCTGTCGTTACGAGAGCACGACGGCTGCTCGTGCCCGCGTGCTGCAACATTATTAAGAAAGTTGGAAAAAAAAACAGTAACGGCCAAACGCAGTCATCGGCAGAGGGCGGCCGCGGTTCTTCGAAACCGATTACGTTATATCAAAGTCATAGACGTAGTTGGCGTAAATAAATACCTATAGTGCTTTTTATTACAGAGAGGGCAAGGTCCTTGTTTTTTAGTGTACGGTCGGCAGCACGTCGAGCTTCACATTAATGGACCGTTGCGCTGGAAGCAATATTCGAATACGTGTGTGACTTGATATACTTTTGGAGTGTACATTGGATATTTTTGAAAAAAAGTTAGTGCGGTTTGATTACGCTCAACCCTCCTGTTTAAGCATAACAACTATTTTAATCGGATTTTAATCGCGTATCCGTGTAAAAGCGCTGCTGGTGCTGGTGGCGTTCTGTAGGATAATAGTAATGCAGCCTGGAGAGTAGTAGTAGCCTCCGCAGCCTCCATACATCTTACTTGGTAAGTTTAGTAGTTCAAAAGTTGAAAGTGCAGTTTTCTAGGTATAGGTATTTATTCAGGTTTAACAATAATATTACGATCTTTAAAATGTAAACGGTGTAAATACTGATAATTAGTAAATGGTTCAAAAGATACGATGAGATGTGTTCGTGAACGAAACAAAATCGGAAAGTGAGGCAAAAGAATGGAACAATTCAAAATTTGAATTTAAATACGACTGTGAGAATAAAATAAGGAATTCAAATAAAAAGGTGGGATGACGATGCAAGGAGGTCACACCGTCACATCCGTTTTTGGGGCTTGGCATTTCAGGCTCTTTACAGATCCTAGACATGTGATGGTTTGTTTGAAAAACAAAATATACGCGATTTGGGTTTTTGTTTTATAATACCAAGTGACGCGACAAGCGACACGTCTGTCTATAGCAGTTGTAGTATCACTCAGAATTTTAGATAAATCGCAAAGATATGAGGGACACTAATATACTGCACCTGTCACTCCGAGACACAAGTTACGAGATCACGATGCTTTGTAACACGAACATAATCCGACACGGCGAATGATAAGTAACAATTTGCATGTTCTTCTAGGACTAAATTCGAATAGCTCTATTCTATTCAGCAGACGATGCAGTGATTTGATGTGATGATTTGGAGCAGTAACAATGTGGCGACGTGGACGTAGTGAAGTTTTTTTTTCTATAACATCAAGTGACGGGAAGAACAAGTCGTCCGCCTGATAGCAAACTACACACCAGTCCATAACAGTTGCAATGCCACTCAAAGCTTTGAAATCGCAAAGATCTGAAGGGCACTGTCACTGCGCCCCTCAATTTGAGACATAAGTCGACAAGTCAAATTTACCTACAATTTCACCAGCACCCGTACCCTTCAGAACCGGAACGCAGTAACACTCACATTACTGCTTGGTGGCAGAAATAGGTAAAGATGTATGACAACACATGGCTGTAGATTCCACACAAATTTGAATCAAAGTGTATTCCATAACATTTTCGTTTATTTGAAAAGAGCAATCCCTAGAGTTTCCTCTCATAAGGAACTCTACTGCTACTAGGATAAGAAAAAAGCCCTCTGGTCATATAGATGGTTAGCTATAAACAAACTAGCTGTCTATTGATGCCATAACCTTGTGGTTTGTAATAGAAGCACTATAAACTTGATACGTACGGGTGTGGCGGCGACGGCGGCGCGAGGGAGGACTATACATAATATTGTGCGTCAATCAATGACGCGAATCATATGGCATCGCTCTGTCTGGCCCTGGCCAATCAATATGGCGACGTGTACTCATTATCAGACATCGGAATGGGCAGAATATAGGTCTACATTGTTATTTACCCAAACTACATGTAATACATGTGGATAATATCTCATATTGAAAACCTGGAGTGATTAGTCGTGTGCTTATTTAGACATACGTCTGTCCGCAATAGCTGCAGTGCTGCCGTCGACTAACTAAAACGCGGCTTAGTGACAAATGGTCAGATATCCGTTTTAAATAGAAAAAGATAGAGTACAAAATTCTGTTTTAAAAACAGTTAAAATTAGTTAACGTGTTCTACTTATCGGAACTTACCCTAACCATGCGTAGCTGAAATATCTAAATATCTGCCTGAGACATAATGTGCATGTGCCTGTAATTCTACCAGCACCCCGCACCCTTAAAAATCGGAACGCAGTAATGTGAGCATTACTGCTTGGTGGCAGAAATATGTAAGATGGCAGTACTTCGCTAGACGAACTCTTTCACAAGGAGCTATACCTTACAATGTTATAATTTCTTAAGTTTTCGTTCTCATGGTCGCGACTCAAACCCAAACTCAAATAATCTTCATTTCATAGGATTACATTTGAAATCGTCATATTGATTAAACTCATTCGTAAGACAGATTTCCCTGAGAAGAATGAGTAAGAAATTCTTCATATCATTTCAAACATGATCAAGACAACCTGCGAGAGTTAAAACGGGCCACTGTTGGATTTTTGTCATCCAAGTACGCAGAAGCTGTATAACAAATATGTAGTTTTTGTTTCATCATTACTCCTAAACCTCGTAAATGGAAAATTATGAATATCAACCGGAATTTGTGACTTTGTAAAGACTGTCAAGAACAACTCGGGTTTATTTTTATTCCTCGCAATAAAGTTGTTTGGCGCAAGGTTTCATATAAATATTACAATTTATCTTAACATAAATTAAACTTTCATGAATATAATGTGACGCTAATGTAAAAATGTTAATTTCTTTAACATTCGCGCGCCTGGTGGTAAGCGACAAGGCTATCCGTAACAGTTGCAGTCCCACTCAGAGTTTGAATTTGCAAAGATCTTAGGGGCACTGCCACTGTTCTCGTCACCTTGAGACATAAGTTGATATGTCCCATGTAATTTCACAAGCACCCTTGCTCTTCCAAACCGGAAAGCAGTAATGCTCACATTGCTGCTTGGCGGGAGAAATAGGACTCTCAACAAGACTGGATTTCTCTCCTCTGGCCCTTGCATTGATCTATCATACCTATCACAACTGACCTGTCATTAACATACCTGTCGGTAACTGGAATTAACATATCGTTGATAGGAGCTCTACTGCTACTTATCTCTCAAAGACACTCTAGGGGTCGTATTCCAGAACTCTACTCAATGCTCAAGTCAGGAATTAAGCAGACTTGAGTATGATTTCAAGCACTGGAAATACGACCCTAAAGGCAAGGACTTGAGTATGATTTTCAGTGCTCACTGCAATACTCAAGTCCTGACTTGAGTATTGAGTAGAGTTCTAGAATACAACCCTAGGAGTCAAATAAATTGTCTAAACCGCGCTCACAGCGGTTAACTTTAAATCAACTGAGTTAGACACCTGTAAAATACTCAAAACGGTGGCTGTGTTTCAAAAAAAAAACAAAGTTCCGTAAGTAAGTTAACTGTTTAACTTTACACACATAAATAAATTACTTTGCGGATACGTCCAGGTTTCCTCGTGATGGTATTCTTCATGCACTTAATTAAATACCGTAAACTCATGCGGTGCAAGCCCAGATTGGAACCTACGAACCTCTGTTTGAGAGGCTGTAAGTTAGGCTACTACGGTTTTTTTTTTCAAGAACTGAATTTACCTAAATTCTTAAATTTATTTTCGGCGAGTGAAAAGATAAAATAATACAAAAGATATTCTTAAAAAGAGTTTCAAAGCTGAACAAATAAAATATACGAAAGATTTACACGCGTCACGGCAACTCACGTTCCTATTGGAGTAAACACACGATTCCTTTCATTTTTGTATATTTTCTTTGGCCAAAAATATATGACAATCGATGGAACATCACCGATTTGACAAGTGACGTGAAATCCGAGTGGGCTTCCAAAATTTCATACTGTTTGAACCTACATTATGCTTGATGAACGCCAAATTTGGGAATAGGTTTTATTAAACCTATTTCTAATGATTCACCAGATATTTACATAATACGTTCAACATTTACTCGATACTTTTTTAAATGATATAAAATTTAATAAAACACAAAGAATAATAAGGCTTATTAAATTATTCACCAGATGATATTTGCCTATATCGTTTAATATTTTAGTAATTAACGAAAATGGTTTTGAGACTTTTTAAGTCCTTTTGCTTCCGCATTCCGCGTTAAAACGTGTAAGCGTGGTGCAATACGTCTTTATTGCTTCTTAAACGTTGAAAATATAACAAAATTCAATTTAAATCAATTGTAAATTAAAATAATAATAAATTGTCCATTATTCATCTTCACCAGGAATAGAATCGTTTATGTGACAAAGGATGAATTTATGGCCGTTAAAATTACATATGCCTTAGTTTAATTTACTTTGACCTTGGTCGCCTTTTCCGACTTCTATGGGTAGAGATGGAATAGGTTATTCTGTATTATTCAGCGCCAGTTGACCTTTGTGCCGGAAAATATTTTGAATAAATAAAAATACTGCAAACTAGTTTATGTTACTCGCCTCTTGTTTTTTCCTATTCTGTACGTTTTTAGTGTAAATATATTAAAATGGTTGTTAATATTCTAGATATTTAAAACAATGGTTGTTGTATTACATTTGATACTAGTAATTTTTGCTTATAAAAATACTGCAACTCCTAAAAATTAATGTAATTTTTTGCGCCATTAATATTTCTAATATTAGCAGATTTGATTATCGACTACCACGTAAAAACACGTGTATAAACGTATCAAATAAATACCTATACTAAATTTACTGTGAAATATTATTAAATATTTTCACAATGATGAAAATAATTATTCCAACGCAACTCCGAAATTTCTGTGTTCGCTGCCCTAACCGCAAACTGATAAACACGGCACTGGACTTGAAGAACCTTGATTATGAAACGATTGCATAGAATACTGTTAGTTTGTGCCGGAAAATATTGTAATAAATAAAAATACTATAAGTATGTTTACTGACCATGTAAGATTTATAACTAACCATTACTTTACCTAGCGGGACACCTGTAAATTTATTATTGT